AAACGTGTTTTAACTATCAACAATTTGTTCTGTTGCACACTTGTACACATTACCAAACAAAGATTTTGATGGCAAAATACTAGACTACTCTAAATTTAAATAATTTTAACACTTAAAAAGTGTTAACTAATTTATAATATCGTTTGGTAAAAATGAATCTAAATTGATACACTATTGTTTCAAGTCGGAACAATAAAGATCATTGTAATTGCTCCAATTAAAACTATTCAATCGTTTCAGGCTCGGGCCTTACAATAGGCGTCAAGAAACAATCGGATTGGTGGCAATGGTGGGACGGAGGGGTTTAGCACAATCATCCGTTGTGTGGAAGCTAATTATAAACCGCATCGCAGACGATCTGAAGTGTCAAATCCTCAGCTAGTTAGCTAATAATTTCACTACCAACCTTAAGTACTAAGTAGCTTACCGTAGCCGTTTATTTATTTATAACGAATGGTTTGAGAACGTGTAATGACTATGTCATTCACACGTGGTTTCAAGTTGTACACTAGTTGTAACCGATTTAAACATTATTTAACAAGAAAGCGAAAAGCCGCTTTCGTGAATTGGTATCCGAAGTCATGAAAAGTCTTCCGAACACTGTCGCTTAAAACAATTTAAAAAATCTACCTCTCAAATCTACAAGGGTTGACTGCCCTTAGACTGTGGACCCAAGGCCATGATATTCTTATCTCTCCTGGTAATTAATACTGTGTATGTAGTAATAAGAAAGAGCGCTAAACAAGTGCTAGTCAGTATGTATGAATGTAGTACAGTAATTGGTATCTCTGACTTTCACCTCGTAAACCCTAATTTTATTACCTATTTCTACACTTTAATAACCCTAATATCTATCTATATCTATATATATGTATATTTTTACGCTTGTGGCTAGTGCATTATAGTCAATAAACTATAACACGCATTCTAAATGGTTGTACCACAAAACACACGCAGTTTACGGCACTGTCGCGTTCTTTACAATGGCTTTGATGTTCATAATTAACAGCTGTGTCTAAGGAATGTCGGCCTTAGGCCGGGGCCACACTTGTAATTTTCGACCAGCGAGACTGTTTTTTTCCGTTTTCACGTGCGACGCACGTGAAACAGTTTGCCCGTGGCCACACTTGTCTTACGAGATAGGTTTTTCGGGCAAACCAGTGAGACTGATAGAGCATGCCACACTGGCAATAAAAATCGTCCGTGTCCGTGATACGCACTCCCCCCCCTTCCACGCTCTCTGTACAGGTTAAAACTAGAAGCGTCCGTGGAAAAAGTTCAGCGAGATAAGATGAGTGTGTTCACTCCCATAAGCCGCAATGCCCCGCGACTAGTTTTACGTGCAACGCCCGTGGGATGTTAGTAGAGAATACACGTGCAATTCCGTTTGTCAGTCTCGCTGGTAAAACCAGTGAGACTGACAAACGCGTTCACGGACGTTTTTACTCTAGTGTGGCCTGCCCCATATACCGTAATGTATCTCTCAAACCTACGGGTAACGCCCGTGGAAAAAATTCAGCGAGATAAGATGAGTGTGGCCCCGGCCTTACGCCTCTTTCACACGACGCGGCGCGCGCCGTGCGGCGCCCGCCGGATCCGGCGTAGGGCTATGGGAGTATATGAGTCCTTTCACACTATGTCCGGCGCGCGCCGCGCGGCGAATTCGCCGCACGGCGCGCGAGTTACCGCCGGATGCACCTTGAGCCGGATGACAGCGCCGCGCGGCGTCCACGCCGGACAACTCGGTGAAGGTGCATTGGTTCTTATGGGAGCTTTCACACGGTGCGGCGCGCGCCGCACGGCCCAACCCCTACGCTGTCTCATTTTAGGCAAACTACCTGACCAAGAGGGTGCAACAGTTTATATATCGTTGTATCGGAAAACAATATATTTAAAGTTATTACAAAACATACATTGTTATGTTAATCCCATGCATATCGACCAACTTAAAGTATTAAAACAAAAATTTTCCTTTTATAACTAGAGGAGAATATTTAGTATTAAATTAATAATTTAGTAATTTATACGTAATGAAACATTTTTTTTAACTTCCAGAATAAAATATTTTCAGATATGACGAATACTTATATATAATACGTGAAGGTGATTTCTACGAAATACTACTCCTCCGTTTAAGTATTTGTTGTGTACACGCCCCCTTTCACCAATTCCTGTAGTAAAAGTCCTCGGGCTTTGCCCCTCAGGCCAACAAAATCCCAATGTATATCTTATGAAGACAAGATTTTATTTAGTTTAACCATAGATAAAACATACTCCTTACTATGGTTAAACGGACGAATAATTTGTATTAATTACAGCTGTTCATAGTACACACATGATACACACAAGAGTTTTCGTTTTCAGTTTCGGTAGATGGAGTGGAGTGAGCGTTCGTTTTCAGAGTGAGTTCGTTTCCAGTTTCGATAACTGGAGTGGAGTGATTGGTTACATTATCTTTGAGTTGACTCTCACACGTCAACGGAAATAGTGACAGTTATTCGTAAAAAAACTCCTTTAATATTTTGCAATTGCTCAAATTTGAGCAACAGGTGCACTAGTTTATTATATTTAAAATTATCCTATTCATTTAATTTGAACTTTTAAGTGGAGTATTCATTTAAAAGCCACAACTGAACAGAAAACAATAAATAAATAGGAGTGCCGTACGGCGCGCGCCGCACGAAACCGTACTAGTGTGAAGACACACGCTTGTCCGGCGCAGCGCCGCGCGGCGGACGCCGTACGGCGCGCGCCGCTTCGTGTGAAAGAGGCGTTAGTCACTAACAAGACTACAAGATCGCGTCACTCATCCTACACTCATCCCCATTCATACTTGGCTTAAAATACCTACTATGTATGGTCGCCATTTCATAGAACAGTATAACAGTATAACTGTCAGTTATCATTCATTATTTTACTATTTTGTTTTAACAATGTTTAACTATTTTCCACAAGTAATAGAATAATAGGTAAATACTCTAATTTCTCTATAAAAGCTTTCTACATATGTTTACAATATTTGTATTTTATGGTGATCTATTGGTACATGGGAAAACACGCATACACGGTGCCATGGTACATTGTACATTATCACCAATGTGAGTTAGTTGTGCAGGTACGGGACTTCTCTTCCTGTGGAAGCATCACTTCCGTTCCCATTGTTTCGCACGTTTCCGCATCCTCTCAATTAAATAATTACTGTACAGTCGGCATGTCCGTATGGAGGACACATTTGAATTATTGTGTCAAATCAAAGCCATACCGCTCGAGAGGTTTAGCAATGTCGAATTACCATCGACAGAGTGACGAGTATGTTACGGTACGGTCAAGTGTGACGCGTGCTGTGTGCGTGACGTCATGCGATGTAACGTAACGTAACTCTCGTAACGCTCGGCCTCTACACGACCGACGGACGAGTATGTTACGGTCAAGTGTGACGCGTGCTGTGTGCGTGACGTCATGTGATGTAACGTAACGTAACTCTCGTCGCTCGACCTCTACACGACCGACGGACGAGTTAATGAGCGGTCAGACTACGCGGAGAAGTGGCAATTATCTTGACTCGCGAGCATTGCAAAGTAAACCGGGAGGCCATTGTCTCAAACCACAGCATATTTCTGTTTTGGAGGTCAGGTCAAACCAATGGGGACTGAAGGATAGGACGTTAATTTGCACGAATCATCCATCCTGGTGGTAAAACAAATCGATTCGTTCAAACCTACAAATCCGAAGGACCTAGATGACGTTTGTTGTTGTGTTATCAACAAAATAATAAAAGGTCGATGTTAGATAGTAACGAAACCAAAGTTTGGACAGTTTCCATACACAAATTACTATTATAGTGTTGGAAAACATATAACGTTCATGTTATTGTTAAACAGACGTTACCAGCAAACTAACACGTACAACCTTCTCCCGTTAGCTTGTAAACAACCCTCACAATGGGTTAGCGGTGGGAGTAACTATGGCATGTTATGGGTAAAATCACAAAAAAGTGCAATAGTTTTTGAGCTGTAATTTTTACAGCCGGGGGGGGGGTTATACCATTTGGTTTACAGTTGAAAGTACCATAACATAATGCATTTTAACGATCATCGCTTGAGCCGTTTTTTATAAAATCCTATATATACTAACTTATTTTTAAATGTTATAGGAAAATTGACATTGAATATAAAAAAGTCTGGATTTACCATGGAATAGTACCGTACACACATACATAAGTTCGAAAACCACTTGTTTGGGTACAGGGGGGGGGGCGAAAGGTGGGCCACCCCATATACAACGTATATGGGTAGAAAGTAAGAATGAAAATTAAACAAAACTTCAGATACCTTGATGTGAATATTATTCATGACAGTTTTGAGGACTCTTCAGTGTTGAGTGACAATAGACAATGCGGCACGTCGCCCACTCACGCTGTCCTTGCATTGCCCACGCCTCACACACGTAACTGGACAAAGCCTACCGTTATGTGTCGAGTGCTTGTGCCACGTCAGTGTGATAGGCTACTCATTTGTTTATATTGTTTCCTTGCTTAGTGGTCGAATTATGTTACCTATACATGATGGAGTACGGGATATCATGCCAACCCACACCTGATTAAGATATTCGATATCGAATTATTGTGTGTACTATACGGCACTCATTTGAATTAAAAACATGTTATATATGAACATAAATGATACAGTTCATATATTATACTTAGACTTATTAATACAGTCGTTTCAATATGCACACCAATATTTCTGATGTTATATTTCTGCGCCAAATTCCACATGTCTTGCTCAATAAAGCAATATATCTCTCAATGCTGCATTTTCCTTCTTGTGCTAGCAGGTACTTTTACTATTTCCCTTCCCATACGTGTTTACTAAAGACTAGACACCCATTAGAAGATAATATAGACACACACGAGGACTTCTCTAGTACATAGGATATCCATGCCAACTAACCCTGTATAGAGTTATAATAGTCTGACATCTCTCTCTGTTATGTTGCAGCTGAGAGTGACTTGTCGGAGTTCTCTGCGAGGACGGACCACTGGGGCGCAGTCCAGCCTCTAGCCAGGAGCCTGTTCACGGCCGACACACGGCCGTCGCCGGTCCGACGCCTGTACGACGCCGCAGCGCCGACCCCCGTCACCGTGATGCGAGCTCTGGACCGTTACCGTCGCGACGGCGCGCGCTGCTCCAAGTACTTCAGCGTCACTCCCGTCCTGGGCCAACACCGCAAGAAACGACCTGCCGACTGCCTGGACATCGACATCGAGACCCGACTGGTATGTCTAGCCTCTGGTTGTCAACTGTCTATGGGGGTTTGAATTTGAAAAAGTGTATTTGGGCCTGAAACTCTCCAACTTTGGGGGTGGTTGGAAAATGTGTAGCTGACAACAAAAGAGATTTCTATTAATATGTTTACTCGGCTTCAACTTTCAAGTATAGTGGCTTCCACTGTGAAGTATACTGCCGAATCTTGGTCTTTGAGATCTTTCCACACGCTCACATTGTGCGCAGATAAATGTGTGATTGAACAACTCTGAGCACAGCGCACATGTGTATTGTGTGCAACGACACAAGGTGGAGCGTGTGGGCTGGTGACATTACTGGACAACGGTTTGCATGCGTTGCAGCAACTATTCCACTGAATTGTAGCTTGAACGAAGGATGGAGCGAAAAGTTTGGCCAGTATTTTCACCAGTTCAACGTCGCGGCCATATCCTACGGACTAAGATTCGATAAAAGAGAATTTTTGTCCTTTCATTGTACACTTGGTTTGAGTTCACCAGAAATACCCCTAAAAAGTTTCAAGAGTGCATCTATCGTAGCCTGTACAATGTTCGTGATTTGCATTGTCACTCATCCTGCACTCATATTTGGGCTGAAATAAGCACACAGGGCGGCCCCATCTTAAATTGATTTAATTGATTTGATTTGAATTGAAGAGGGTATTTTGTGCTGGGTTATGGTGTCTTCTCTGTTATACTTCTTTTAAAATTTACCTTAACGTGAGGTTTCATTTAGTGCGGGTTTACATGTTTACATTTCAAATTTTAAGGGTTGACCTAAGATATATTTTTATTCGTTCCACATTTAACTTATTGAGACAATACCTCTTACTTTTGTGTCAGTTACAGTGAATTTACGAACAGTTTGAACTACAAATTCTGTTGGGTCTAGTATGTCCTAGTACACATAATTCAGTATTTGATAATGTTCACACGTCACTGCAGAATGTAGAAATATTTTATGATTCATCCAACGTAAGACAGCCTCACTGGTGGTCAGTGTCTGACAAGCATTACCATTAGTCCACGAGAACAAAGCCTAATGGGGCTGCAAGCCGCTCGCTGATTGGCCCAGGCGATGCAAAAACCCACGTGATTGGCAGTTCCATTACCATCGCCCTGGAGGACCTCGGCCACGCTGCGTTGAGCTGTTGCAAACAAGTTAAATCATTGAGTTGTAATATGGATCACAGTTTAATTTTGGTATTAACTGATTATTGAATGTTCAAGAGTCAAGTCTTGCAATCAGTTGGAGTTAACCAGATTACAGTCAGTTATAAAGTGCAGTGATTGCCGGACGATTCTGGAAACCGGAAACAATCTCATTCTCGTTTACATTTCAGAGCGTGTTTGAAAATCGATCATCGAGTTTGTGTTTACGATTCGAATTGATTGAACAACGAATTTTTTCAATGTTTAAATAATTTTTAAAGGATTCAGTTAACAACTTCGTCGGAACGAATATGATAACATACCGACGAAACTCTTATAAAATGTACTTGTTTTTTTAGAAGGGAAATTTTGCAAAATTCGTCACGTCTTTATAATATAATCTTTATAAAATTCGTCTTTATAATATCATTGTGTGTCTTTATATATTCAGTTTACCGTGTTAAAAATCCATTGATAATTACATGACATTCTACCTTCTCTAATACGACGCCTTCATTACGGAGGATTAATGCAAGGATCAATTAATATACATAAGAACGATTACACCTACAAACTAGTGATTGCACAGGTGAACAACAAATGCGATGTTTATTCCCAGTCTGAGAAATCGCTACACTAAAGACTAGATGAGGTCTAAAGACTAAAGACTAAGGACTAAAGAGGTTACGTCGGTCTTGCCGGCCAATTAATAGTAAATAAACCATCTGGTTGCTGTATATCAGCTGACTAAACGATCAGCTGCCAACTCTGCTTCCGACCAGGTGTTCAACTAGACTACGTTCTGGTGTGAAATATTATCTACTGCACATTCCCTTTCTGAATTATTAATTCGTTATACTTAATTTCATTTGTTGCCTTCAACTGATGTTTGAATCCCTCACACTTAATCTCAACTCTGTTTGCAATTTCCTGGTGACAGTCCACGTTTTCTGGATGGACAGCTTATACCACACAGCAATCGTTTTAAGATGAGACTTTTTCGCTAGCAAGTCAGTATCCATTTAGATATTCAGTCTCAAAGCTAGGCTGATCTGAACCCTGTAAATCATCTGCTTGCCTTCTGTAAAGTGTCCGACTGCCAATTTCTGCAGATCAGCTGTAACTCAGCTTCTGGCCAGGTGTTTAACGACAAAGTGTTACGAAGTAGCCGTGAAATTTGTCCGTCACGCAAAACCCGATAGCATTTTTTACACTCTCTCCGCGATGCCGGTTAGCGACTGCTTTCACTGTTTAGCCGCTACCTGTTTTTAATATCTTTGCTAGTGGATGTCTCAACAATCTATTGTTATTCAAATGTATCCACTCGTAATGTTTTTCCGTTATTATTTTTATGATACGCAGTAGGAAGATATAATTACGTTTGTCTAAGCAGTACAAGATTGAGGTTAGGGTTAGGGATTCAGGAAATTATTGACCAGAGATCGACAAAAATTAAAATCCAAACACTTGTTCCATTGTAACCATTGTAAAACCAATACCACCTTTTAGCCCGTCATTGTTCACTTAAAGGTGAATACAGTTACAGTGTTTGACAATTTAGTTAGTGTTAAGAGCTAAACGAATGCAATCTAACAAATACCGCCAAACAGATACAAATGCATTCACTTATCCTTTGATGGAACGTTTACCGGCTAGCGCTAGCACTAACAGGCACTGGTGGACTGGTTCACAATGCAGCCAGCGCTGCCAGACACCGATTCACAGCGCTCCCTCCCTTTCATATGCAGATCGTCTGTTGATTGATAGAACGTCTTGGCTTTTGTGATCAATCTGGCATTTGAAAGGCTATTCGTGGTGTACGCTTTGTCTCCTGGACCTGCCTTGGGAATCTTCAAATAATTGCTTAAGCCTACAACAACCAACAGTATTTATACTGTAATACTGTACTCTCTTGCAGTAGTATAAATTATTTGTATTAATGTATCTTGCAATATAAAACGTAGGAAGTTTTCATTACTGTTTTCGTAGCTGTTGTTACTGTTTTATCTATGAGTAAAACTCTACATAATGCTAATTTAACGTAACTTTGAAAACTATTAACCTAGTTTCTATTTAGAAGGTACATCAGTCTATTACAATTCTTCATTCCTTAACACTGTACCAACCCTGACATTCGTCCATGTATCATGCTTCCAAGGATTTTTTTACCTGCTGCGGGTTCACGGTAAGAATAATCAAAGATTTGCCAAAGTATCAAATACTGTAGTCACCTTTGTTATTTTTTGCTGATATCCAGCTTAGCTTGTAGACTTGCTCAGCTAAAGGTTAAAGCAAACGACAAATCATGCATTGCATTCGCGTTTGTTGATGTGTGTAGGTGAGATGAGTGAGGTGATGTCTGTATTGACTTCAGAGACCAAGTCAATAGTTCTTATGTGGGTAAATGCACGCCGGCCTCCCAATGTATCATTCGCAACTACCCTATCTTTGCTTTGAGCTTGTAAATAATTCCTCTAGATAATTTTCCTCAGTCGAGTTTCAGGATCATTTAAGAAAATCGATGGCGTCGGTATAGTTAAAAAAAAAATACTCAACGAATGCAACTACAATTTGCTTCAGTTAATTTTTGTTTTCAATTTGAAGACGTTATTTACTTTATATTTTCCCGATGTTTAATGTTTTTAGGTAGCTAAAAGTCACATTTAAAATACACATTGCCAAGTATAAAAAATGTCTCCCAAAGTGAATATTCAAATAAAGTGGGATTAAACAATAAAGTGACAAATCCAGCGGACTATCGTCTGTTAATCCTCGGACACACCGCGGTTGATATTCGACAATACACGTGGCGTGGTGTATTGTGTATTGTGGTGTTACAATGACACCGACTTAGTGTTATGTGTTTCATTTTAACATTACTGTATCCCCCATCATGTAGTGGACTGTGGTGTCGGTTGATTTTGCCCCTCGGGACTTGTTTGCGTATATGGACTCTGCACTTCTCTCTTTATTGTCTCATTCCTACCATAGATACAAGGATTAAATAACCGCAGATGATTATTTTATAACATTGTAAATTCACCCGGTTATCTTATAGGCCTAGGCTATGAAGTAATGTCAAACATAAATACAACCCTTGTTATTTTCATCGTTGAAATGACGATCCTGAGAATCGTCAGTTAGATTTTACAAGATTAAATAGACGATATTTAAAATTTAATAATCGCATGGGGTTCGTTTCGTGCTAGGCTTATCCCCTTGACTGTGATACAACCTATATAAACATGAACTGCTAATTAACCACATTCCCAGTTATTTATTAGTTACTTGAGTAACTAATGCATTAAATTATTAAAAGAAAATTCGTGGTTTGTAATTTTTATCTAGAATTTGTCATTCTATCAGGTTCTATCTCAACGACTACTAACGTCAATACAGTATGTTCTTTGCGTTGTGGCTATCATTTCGTCGTGCGTGTATGCGTATAATTGATTATAAGCTATAACCTCTGTGTAGAAGCGGAGAGTCGCTATTTTGTCCTATATAGTCTTTATTCAACAAAGTCGTCTTCTCATATCTTTCAAAATTGGCATTATAAACGTTTTCAAAAGTAAGTGTGTATGCATCCTCTTTGCTACATGGAGAAACCACAGATCCGTCCTTTGACGTTTTTTAGTTTCTACCGGAGTTTCTACCGATAGGGATGGGCCCTAGCTACCGATACTGTATGTGTTCGGGGCGCCCTGTATGTGTTCGCGTGTGTGAGGTAGAAGGCCCTCACTGCGCCAGCACTTAAATCTACCCCCTAAAATCAGAACTGTACTGCGCCAGAGCGGTGTTTTCTTTGTAATAATAGTCCTGAGAGAAACTGTCGTAATAAT